ACCCCAGCCCACCTCGTTTTTGCAAGTCATCCGGCCCAAAAAGAAGCCATCCAATTGTGGAAGAAATGCAAACCCTAATCAAAATGTACCAGAAAAACGTCTACCACTTTGATAATATTATAAGAGTTGGTTGGGTGTGAGTAGTAATATCACCAATTCCTAGTGCAATTTGAGGATTTTTTTTGGGGGTTAATTCCACTTTGTCCCCCCAAACTTTGGATGATTATTCACTTTAGTCCCTAAACTTCAAAATGGGACACTTAAATCCCTAAAACTTATAAATTGGGGCACTTAAGTCCCTAAACTTATAAAATGAGACACTTAAATCCCTAAACCCTTATAAAATAGGACACTTCGACCACCACGGCATTCAAAATTCTGTTAACAATTTTTCTTAATTATGAGGTATTTATAAGTATAGGGACTTAAGTGTCCCATTTTGAAGTTTAGGGACTAAAGTGGGTAATCGTCCAAAGTTTGAAGGGACAAAATGAAATTTTTTTTGGTGTAGTGCAATATGACAGATTTACACGTAATACCGGGATACTTAGGCTGTAAAGTGTGAGTGATTGAATTTAAATGGGACAAATTTAAATGTTTAAATGTTCAAAATAAAAAGTTAAGCGTGTAAAGCATTTAAAATTGGAGGTTAGATTACAAAATAAAAAAGTGATACAAGTTTAAAAGGGTAAAATAGAATTGGTCGTCAGAGTAATCATTAACTATATGGAGTCGCTCGCTAGTGAAACATCGTGGCATTGCATTAGCAGATCAGCATCATAGAATTAGTCGTTAGAGCAATCATTGAGCTATATTATTGACTCACTTACTAATGAAACATGGTAGTGGCATTGCATTATTAGATCGAGCATAACAAGAAGGTTGTCTTTTAACCATAAGAACACTGGTAAGCTTAGACAAAATCAATACTCTTAACTGACGATGATTGAAACCCAAATCTATTCTTGTTTCTATTGGGTCCATCATTTTGACTTAACACACGACAGAGTAAACTCCTGGTCCTGGGGAATGAGGATTACGTTCATCTTCCATCCACCGAGCTACAACTTGCCATCCGTCATACTGCTACTCAATGAAGAATCAGGTACCAAGATAACTTTGAATGAAGTTACACTGGAGAATCAGGTGCCAAGAACATGTGCCTTTACTAAAAGGGTATTTGGAAAGTAGAAGTACGCTTCCTGAGCTTGCCCCTAATGGTGGAATGAGTTTCGCGGAATTTCTTTAAAAAAAAAAAAAGAATTGGACTGGACTGTCATGTCTTTTGTCATAGATGGTTCCAAAGTTCCAATTTTAATTTCTTCAATCATCGAAAATGGTTTTTCATACAACTAATCAAAAATGGCTTTCAGCCACCAAAATTTGATCGAGACAAACTGTAACAGGGAATTTGTTGCTTCTTCTCCTCTTTTGTTTCCATTTTTATGTGGAATAGTTTCCTGTAACAGGGAGTTTTCATGCAATTGCCGGGGCTTGGGGAAACCCCAAGCAATTCGAGCACTTCCCAATCTTGTTCAGACTGAGCTCCCCAAGATTATCATCCTATCAGAAACAAACTGATGCGGAGGGAGATGGAAGGAGTTAAGACGGAAAATTGGCTTCGGTAATGGTTTCTTTGCTGGGATTGAGTGGGGGATTGCAGGCTCTATTGTGGAATGTGGATTGAGGGATTATTAGTTATTCCAGAGGACATATAATATCTGATGAGGAAAGGGGTCTCAAGTGGAGATTGACTGGCTTTTATGGACACCCAGATGCTGCTGTGAAAAGGAAACGTTCTTGGGAACTTCTTTCCAGGCTAAGTGACAATATCCGTTTACCATGGTTATGTTTTGGGGATTTTAATGAAGTCCTTGAAAGGGATGAATACTTTGGTAGATTGGATAAAAAATGGTCTCAAATTTATGAATTTAGAAGGGCAGTTGATGAGGTAGGACTACTGGATCAAGACTTGGGACATTACTGTGTCCATTGCCAATTGACATAGTAATGTGGACCACGCGATTGACAAATTCTTGGAGAAGAGGAGCTACATCTACATGAAGAAAGAGGAAAGAAGCAAGGCGTTTGAAGTTTTCTGAATATCGAACTTAACTTTTTCTACACACAGACAGACTACTTTTCCTTCCTGGAAAATGCATAATGACACAGACTACGTGTATCTTCTATAACGCATGAGCCTACAAAAAGTTCTATTGAAAATTAAAAGTCAGGCAAGAGTAACTCCTCGGAGAATATACTAAGCTATGCTGATGTTCTACAACTGCAATGGAATGCCAAGCGGAAACCTTCTTCATTACCATAAAATTTTTTTTTTTCTGCTGGCCATCTCATCAATGGAATGCTTCTTGGCCTTTCCTGATCTGGTAGAATAACCCCAGAATACATCTTTGAATTTTAAAAAACGCGAGAGATGAGACGATCTTCTGTCAAACAGCTTGCAGCATCAAGTGTTTTTTTTTTTTTATTTTTTAACGACATCCCTGATGCTTTTTTGATCAATTCAGGTGAACATTCGCACTGCAATTCTCTCAAGAACCTAAGCAAGATCCAAAAAAAACTGGCGTAGAAGTTACAGCTGATTCACTATCCATTTCATTGAAAAAGATGATGGTCGCCTTTAGTTCATGACTAGCCTCACCTGAAGCATAGCTCTTACTGCCACACGAGACGGTAGTAACACTAAAATGTTGGGTAAATCACCCCAGGCGTTGTACAAGTCAGTGTCATCAAGAAATTTCTCCAGCTTATTCTCATTCAAACCACTCTGTTTTATTAATTCTGACACTTGCTGCTGGTGAATTTTATTTTCCTCGCCAACCGAACAAGCGGCCCTTATATACTCCAAACTTGACTGTAAGGTTAGTAGCCTGCAGGCCCCTGAACAGAATCTTCCATAGGCAGTGCAAGGGGTGGAATCTCTTCTACTAAATGGTCCGGCACATTCGGGGCTTCTTCCATTTCCAGTAACCTGATGACCTCACCAACTTTTCCGGTAAAAGTAACTTGCCTTGCAGAGTTACGGTTTCTTTATTTCAAATATTATGAGTGGGATATCCATCTTCCCGGTTAGAATCCTATGTTAGAATCCTATGTGTCACTATTCGGTGCTAAATCCAGTGTCAATCTCACTTATCACGTGATGATAGAAGAAATTTAAATAAATAACACATGACAAATGAAATAAACAAGACACTTGGTATATATATAGAAGTGATACTGAATTACCACTAGAAGAGTGATACTGAGGATCCCGTGTGCCATCTTCCCTCTGTCAAGACTCATGAATACTAAATTAGTAAAGAAATCACACTTAGTTTTAAGCATTATATATGATATTAAAACTTATATGCAATCATAGAATGTTAAAGCGTTTTTTTTTTTGGCATGAAGAGGGAAATGCGTAATTTTTTTTCTTTAGGTCAAAGAGGCAAAGTGTGATTAATACTAAGGACAAAATTGGAAGAAACTTGTTTCGGTCATTAAAAATGCTTAACTTTCAATAAGTTACTTCTCAACCCAAAAAAAAAAAAAATCAATGGATTAGGATACAAAGTGTATAAAGGATAGCAGTAGGAATGAGGTGCCCGCGACCGCTCGCCTCAGAGGCTTCAATGGGGTAGGGAAAAATGCAAGGCGATGGAGATTTTCTCCCCTTGTTTTAATATTATATATATAAGATATATAATATAATATATAATATAATATAATATAATATAATATAATATATATATATATGTAATATGAAATGAATGATATGATATTTTCTTGTGATAATATAATATAATATAATTTTTTGTAGTAAAATGATAATTTTGTTACGTGAGTTTATCCCATTTTTTTGTTATGGCATGTTGTTAATTAATAATTGACTGAGAATTTATGTAATATCAAATATAAAAATACAGATCCATGTGATTAAAATAATTTTTAAATTTCATCTCATGTTAAATTTTTGGCTAAAAATTTAAAAGCATGATTAGTAAATCTATTATCATTAGTGTTATACATATATAAAAATAAAGTCACGGAAAAAGTAAAGTAAAAGTGGGGGTTGGGGCAGCAGTGGCGTGGCGGATGGAGCGGAAGAGTGAAGACGGAGGAATTTTTTAGGTAGAAGAACGGGTCCCAGGCCCAGCCACGTAGACGCTGCCAAGCGTAAGTGTATACTGTTTTGATTGAAGCTAAAAAGTGTGACTAAATGCTAATTCCCCGGTAAACCGGGGGTAAAGTTGTAATGTGAATTTGACTCTTTGTGGACTGAAGTTTGAATAGAGTTGGCCAGTGGCCTCCAAAGAAATGCTCCCCGCTTTCATGGTTTCTTGTCACTCTACCACCGGTAGTAAATTTTCCGATCGGCCCCCACCAGCAAGCTTCTTCTACTTCAAAATTGAACTATTGGTACGATCTTTTTTTCTTTTAGTAATTCTTTGATCTTACTCTTTGGATTTCTTCTTTCTTGAAATCAGATAACTAATGGAGCTGTTCCATCCTGTTGATCAGAGATGGCGACTTATGCTGCACTGGCTTCTCTTCTGCAAACGCTGGATTATCTACTGAAGTTCCCGTTGTTGATCCTCGAAGTTAAGAAAATGAAAGCCGAAGCTCTCAAACCAAAACTCGATGAATTCTTATTGCTTTTGACGGCAGGAGAACCCTCTGCAGTGTCGAGCTCGAGCTCGGGCTCTCGTCTGTGAGAGCTAATTGAAGAAACTGATCGATCTCTGCAATCATCAGTAGAAGATTTTATTGAGGCACTTGGGAGGTCTCATGCAGCTGATAATTTGGAGATCAGACAAAGATTGCTACTATACTTTACTAGTAGTACAAAGCCAAAATTTGAACTTCTTGCGGAGGGAAAGCCTCAAATATTCAAGGAGATCACATCCTTTGAGGAAAATTTGAGGAAATTTCTCCACAGCATTGTCCAAGACTGCTTGTCAGGCAGGCCTAACCATTTCTTGAACCGATACGGCCATATGGAAGAGGATCTAAATCCTCGAGAGTTGCCAGATTTTTTTATACAAATTGTATATTCTCAAGTAGACAGTGAAACACCAGTAGTTGATTCCCCGTTCTCCTCACCAAGCAGTGAGACTGATGACCCCTACGTCGACAAACTTGACTCGACCGTACAACATTCAAATGGAACCATCTCCTTTCCAGACCTTGAACAGCTGTTGTCTTTGGCATTTCGCCAGAGCCGACTTCCAGTTATTGTTAACAAGATGGGACATTTGTGGAGAACCTGTCGTCGGCTCGATGACAGCATCACTAGCTTCTCGAAAGCCACTTCCGATTTAACAACTCTCCACCGGGATATTCGGTTCTTGCTAACCTTTCTTAAGGAGGATTCTTCTAATAAATTCTGCCCTCATCATGAATTGCTGAAATTTATGAAAGATGTTGCAGATAGAGCAAGGGTTCCTGTCGAACAATGTATGGTAGACTACCAAATCGAGTCCATTATGACGTACCCCTTTTGCTTATTGGCTGGGATTCCTGCAAAATTACAAGATTCTGGAAAGATTCTTGAGTGTGCAGTGGACAGGATTTTCTACGGAAAGAAGGGCATTTGCCAATATTTGGTGCAGGCATCAATGCAGATTCAACCCATTAAAGAAATGATTACAAATATAAATGATGAGAGTTCAAGTGCGCACACATCAATTAGCAGCATATCTCTACGCCATTCAAATAAGGACGACATTGTGGTGGGTCTTGATGATGAACTGGTTAGCCTCCTGGAGGGACTCACCAGAGTGCCATCAGGGCTAGAAATTGTGACCATTTTAGGGATGGGCGGCATTGGTAAGACAACTCTTGCTCGAAAAGCTTTTCGTCATTCTTACACTGAATATCACTTCTATTGCCGTGCATGGATCACAGTTTCCCAAGTATATCAAGTCAGAGATTTGTTACTGGGCCTTTTGGGCTGTCTTGGTCACTCCAATGATAAATTGGTAGGGAAAAACGACGCTCAATTGGCTGAAGTTGTGTACAGAAGTTTGAAAGGTAAGAGGTACTTGATTGTTATGGATGACATATGGAGTATCGATGCTTGGAATGATGTCAAAAGATGCTTTCCTGATGACAAAACTGGTAGTAGAATCTTATTAACCAGCCGCGTTACAGAATTGGCTAGCTACATCAATGCAAAGAAGCCTCCTCATTGTATGAGTCTTCTGGATACTGAGCAGAGTTGGGAACTGTTGGAGAAGCTTGTATTTGGGATAGCAAGTTGCCCGCCTGAATTGGAGAAATGTGGAAAGCTTATAGCTAAAAGATGCCAAGGACTACCTCTAGCAATTGTTGTAATGGCTGGTGTTCTTTCACGTGTCGTCAGGACATATGACTGTTGGAATAATTTTGCAGAGACGGTATGCGCAATCATCTCCACTAATCCAGAAGAATGCCTGGATATACTTGCTTTGAGTTACAATTATTTGCCCCATCATCTCAAAGCCTGCTTCCTCCATATGGCGGCTTTCCCTGAAGACTGTTAAATAGAAGTTCAAAAGTTGATTAATCTATGGGCTGCAGAGGGATTCTTGGATCCCCAATCTTCAGAAAATTTAGAACAGGTGGCAGAGGAGTATTTGGAAGACCTTATTGGTAGAAACTTAGTTTTCATTGAAAAGGAGTGTTTTGGAGGAAAAGTCAAGACCTGTCGTCTCCATGATTTCTTACGTGAATTATGCTTGAGAGAAGCACAGAAAGAGGACTTCATGCATGTGATACAAAAGAGAGGTACCAAACGCTCTCGAGTAGGCTTGCGTAATCAGCATCGCCTCAGTTTCCATTTGGATCCTTACAGTGATGTGGCTGCGGCACCTGGAATCCCACACGTCTCGTCTTTTATGTGTTTCACATTGGGTACTAATATTGTTCCGAATATTCTGTTCTTTCAACTAGGCTTTAAGGTGCTTAGAGTATTAGACATATTCTTTCTGCATTTTGATTACTTCCCTGCCCGAATACTAAAACTGATTCATTTGAGGTATCTTGCGCTGAGTGCTACTTATGAGCTTCCTGCATCAGTATCACAACTAAGGAATCTCCAAACGTTGGTGATTCATGGTCCATGGCACTGCCGGGAGTCTGGCAGTAGCCCAACATTGTTACTGGAGTATTGGAGTATGCCTTCATTGAGGCATCTCCAGTGTAGCGTGACGATTTATTTGAAGAATCCTCCTGGAGGAGCTAATAGTGAACTCCCTCAGCTATTTGTTCCAAAAAACCTACAAACTCTCTCTACCATCAAATTTTCATCTGCATGAAGGAAGTTTTCAGTGTCATGCCCCATCTCAAGAAACTTGAAATTTGTGAGACAGAAGAAGACTGCTGCGGCATATGTGAGCCATCTGTATTACTTAGGAATCTGCAGTACTTGAAAGAGCTTGAAACACTTGAGTGCTGCTTCTACAAACAAAGAGTAGAAGTGCGGCAAATATCATTTTTTTCTGCCCTGCCATGTTCTCTTAGGCAATTGAGTTTAAGTTGGAGTTATTTGCCATGGGAAGACACGAGCTTGATTGGCATGTTACCCAGACTTGAGGTGCTCAAACTCAAACATTTTGCTTTCCGTGGACCTAAATGGGAGCCAAAGGCTAAAGGTTTTTGTCGTCTGACACACTTGCTGATTGAGAACACTGATTTGGTCCATTGGGAAGCTACAGTTCATCACTTCCCACGCCTTCAATATCTAGTTCTGAAGTCTTGCAAGCTCTTGGAGGAGATCCCTTTTGATGCGGAGGAAATTGGTACCCTGCAGCGAATTGAGCTGCATCACTGTAACAGAACTACCGAGATATTAGCTAGAGAAATTCAAGAACAGGTTGAAGGCATCGAAGTTGTTATTAGAAGTGAGCGGTAAGTGAAAATTCTCGTCTAATTTCCGATGAACATCGGTGCAAAATCGATGCAATTTCATTTGAGTAGCGTTGTGTTGTCTTTCCCTGCACCTGTTGTTGTTGATTGATATATTGTTATACGTCTTCGATTGGTTTATGAAGCTACTTATTTCCTTCTGATGTCTGTGACAGGAATCCAGACCGTGCATAAGAAGAAAATTCAGTTCCTCTTTTGAGGTGGACTTCCCACTCCATCTCAACTTCTCTGCTGCTCTTTTCTCCTCTACAAGCCATTGTGTAAGCATTTAACCATGCATTGAATGCGCAGTCTCTGATTAATTTATGTGCATGGGGAAATTTAGAATTGTATATGATCTTGGTCAGCAGCTGACAAATTGCTTCCATTCTTCATTATGTTGATGCCTTTTTTTTTTCTTTCAGTATTACTACGTTTGCGTCTCTCAACTTATCAATTTTACTGAGAAGAAACTAGTTTCATTATTGTTATCATGGATGATATGAGGTCCTTTCACAATATATTTGCTTGATGATCTTCTTGTGCATGCTCTTGTGCTTTGAAATGATAATCGTGCATGTGTTCGTCCGATTTTTGGTCACCGATGAACCAAGGTTGCTCATGTTACTTCAACACCATGATACGGTGCCGATTGAATATTGGCTGGGTGTATGTTATCAGTCCAGTACCAGGAAATTGGAAGGTTTATAGTTTTCTGCATAGTTCCAGAAAATAAATTTGCTTTGGAAATTCAATGCGAAAATATCCTTCTTGTCTTAGATAGCAAATTGACCAGTTAGGGAACTTCTAACTCATTTAATATTGGTTAGGAGCTAGGAGCTTCCATAACTAAGACACCTTTCTATTCCCCAAGAGCAGCTTCCCAAAATAAATGGCTGCAATATACGAATAAAGTAGCAAACCTAGCCAATGTAAGATTTGTGGGTTGTAGATGGAAAATTATCAGTTTCCGTTGGCACGTCTCATCATCTGATGAAATATTGATAGTCTTGCACTTGAAGTTCTCACACCCGCAACTATTTCTAAGATTCTAACATACTACACGAAGTTGGGAATCTCTTGTGAGTGGTATGGAAAAGTGTACTGTGGTTTTGGGAAGCAATGGCTGAATATGGGATATGAAAGAAAAGCCCTGCTTTTGCTATTGGAGGAGTATTAGAAACTGCTATCTCTGAGACATTTTCGTATCACCTCAGCCAAAAATTTAAGGATTCCTACCATTTTTGTGAGCCGGTTCCTTGGCTCTGAGAAACCTGGACAAGATCACATCTCAGAGAATCATTTCGGTCTTCCAGGATCTTGATTAGTAGTTGCTCCCGAAGTTTCATTCCATCATTTGATATCTTACTAGGAGGTATAAAACGCGCGATGCGCGTAGGCAACTAAAGATAATATGCCCTGCCAAATATGCAGATTAAGGGAGTGATTGAATTTTGGTGCATTCTTCTTTTATCCAACATTGCATGCAAATTCTTTTTTGTTTTTTTTTTGTATATCAGTATGAATATGCATGGCACTTGACAGAGGGAAAAATATCATTGAGCTATATAGATTAATGTTGATAATCCAAAAGTCCATTAAACTTCAAGGCAATGCAAAGACTTCAAATCCATTGCATTACATGAATTTGGCAACGATGATGACAATGTACCTGGCTGCTACACTGGATAGTAAAATCACAACCTATAAAGCGAGATATTCTCTACTTTTTTAGAAAACCTAATAACTTGCAGGTTGAAGCTTTGTAAGTTGATGCTATATCTTTTTTGGATTCATCACCCGTGGCTTCTATGTAATTTCACAAAGTAATTGAAAGCAACTAAAACTTATCCATTGCTGCAGAAATAGTTGTAGCAAAGTCGGATAAATTCCTCAAGAAGATACTACTGGAGAAAACGGGGAATAACCTTACATTGCATTTCAACAGAAGCATTAAAACATGGAAGATTACTGATACAGTAAAATGCCAGAATACTGATACATTACTGAAATGTGCCAGATTAATAATGGCCTAATTGAGCTGAAGATGAAAATTAAAATGCCATGGATACATTTTTTCGATGACTTTTCGATTGAATACAACAACAGCAAAGGATGGTCAGCCCAAAGATTGGTAACTGCTCTTCGAATGCATTAACTTGAGTAGATATCACAATGTAAAATATTCATGCGATTACAATCTTTGATTCATTAATTCGACCAAAAAAGGAAGAAAAAGCAAAGGACCTAACAGTCCTGTTCATAACAGAATTGGAACTTAAAAGTAAATGATATACGACAAAATATCCTACTACAGAAAATTTTGACCAAAAGAGACAACACTCAGATAATTTTTCATCAGAGATACTGCAGTAGTTTACAACAACAAAGACAGACATGGATCTAGATAGCCTAGCATCCCAGCCCATCAGTAACTCAAAACAATATCGAATTGTAACTGAAAATGGCAAATCTCATGTAACTAAAGTGGGGTAACAAGCAACTGCTAGTATGATTAAACAAAAGAATTAGTTGCAAAATTGAATTTCTGGCTACAGTGTACAATTTACTGTTTAAGTTTAGCGTACACTATATAGAAAATGATAAAGCTTCTTGAAATGCGACATAAGAGAAAGCATCACTTAGAAACAATATTTGGCAGTAGTTCTGCAATTTTACCATGATCAATACAAAAGTATGGAGAAACAAACCTAAGAGACTTATTTAAATATGCAAGAATAACAAAAGACAAATCCTGAAACAGCTACAGCTGATGGATTTACACACTTTTGTGAACGCAAAGGGCATAACATTCTATCTGGAGGCAGTGGAATTCCCTCCTTTGCAACCTGTTTCAAAATGAAGCAATAATCTGTGTGTGAATATCAAATGGCTATAGAAACACAAAGTTCATAAAGTCCTTTATATTTTTTAATCCCTATCCTTTTCTTTCATTTTTTTTTCAATTTGTGTAAGAAACCTAACCATTATAACATCTCTGTACCTATGGTTCTTATTTTTTTTTTCATTTATTACCATCAATGGTGCCCCCATGCAAAATTTTCCCAAGACCTGGCAAGGGTGAGCCATATGTCTCAGATAGGAATAACTCAACTATGGAAACTATTCATATGAAACATAACAATTACCACGACTTTCTCACAAGTCATAAAAGAATATCCTATATGCAAAAAAAATATACAAAAGAATATCCTACATGCAAGAAAATATAATCTTAACAAGCTACCAACCATTCACGGAACTTCCTACACAATAAAAGAAAATAACCTCACCTTTGGGGGAGGAGAAGGCGGTGGCGGGGGATACACTGTTGGAGCAGACATTCTCTCCTCAGCAGATTGGTGCCACCCTTCCATCATCTGACATGCACATCAATAATGAAAAGTTATGAATTTTATCAATTATCTTGTGTGGATGTCTGTGTTTCTTTGAGTGAGAGAGAAAGAGAGAGAGTACATGACAACAATGAAAAAGAAAATACAACTAATTAGGTGCATGATTCAACATGATCAAGTCTGAAACAAACAGAGTTTTTAATAGAATGAAAAACAGTCCCCAGATGAAGGGGACTTTAAAATAAATAAAGAAGAAGATGAAACCAATAGAAAAATCAAATGAACCAATGATGATAAGACAATGACATGAAGATAAAGAAAGAATCAAATAAAGCTGCTAATGTACGATTTGACATAATCTTGGTGAAGTGCTCTTACTTTAAAGAAAAAATACTGTAGCAATCAAACCAGTTCGTGCATAGTCAAGAACTGCATACATACTGCTTAGAAGTGCGCCTTGTACTGCCTGAATGCAAATAGCCAAGTTATTGATCATAGAACCTTCAAAATAGTCATTGAATTTATAGTTTCAAAAAAATGACAACCACTAGAATCTTAGAGCCAAATTTGTTGAGGTTCAGCAATATGATAGATAACATGGTAGGCATCTATATGCACAATGCTTGAATAAACATGGTAACTGCTCCATGTAATCTCGGACTATTATCAATATCCGAAATATCAGCATAAAGCCATTAAGAAATATGGAATCACATATCTTCAGCCAAGGGGGGCCATGGAGTCTCTCACGTTTGCGGCTCCTGATTTTAGAAATTCTTGAAGATGTATCTATCTACCTTGACAAAAGAAAGTGCCCATGCTCAAAGAAATGGAAGGAAATAAGTAGAAATATAACTGAAATCAATCCATAATAAATGCACTGCTAGGTCCTAAAGAAAGGTTTAAAGATGGCTCAACTAATTCAACTAACAACTACAAGTATGTCTAAGAGTGGTTTGATTGAACAAATAAACACTTTCTCCATTTTGAAAACAAATTTTCTTACTTGATCTTTTCCATCATAACTGAAATCAGTCTATCATAAATCCACTGCTAGGTCCTAAAGAAAGGTTTAAAGATGGCTCAACTAATTCAACTAACAACTACAAGTATGTCTAAGAGTGGTTTGATTGAATAAATAAACATTTTCTCCATTTTAAATACAAATTTTCCACTTGACCTTTTCCTCAAACTACCAGCTCTATGGAGAAAATTATAAGACTTATATGAAAATGCACCTAGTCAAGTGTTAGTTTGATAGTTAAAGTACACATAGAAACAAAAATTTTACAGTAAGCAACATTAATGGTTTGAAAATATGCATGAATTTCCATGCAAGATCCTATATAAGTATAAATTACCAAGTTGTAAATTGATATAGACAGCAAAGATAGTCCACAGACAAGAAGGATGACGGTAGATCTAATAGATTGGTCCACATGACACATACCTAGAAAAAGTACCAACTCCTGGCTTTAGCTGGACAAACATGAATTCCAAGAGCGTGTAATCTCAAAAAGTAGAACCCAGTAGCATCTGGTAGAATATAAAAGCTGATAAGCAAAGGACAATCCTGCAAAAAAAGGATCCCAATGGATTTGGTTGTGAGTTTGGTGGCTGTCTTGGCACCCCAGGCTTTCCAACATTATCGTACATTTCTGTAAAATCCCAAGATTAAGAATATTTTTCTTCCCTGTTTAACCAAACCAGGAAAACAATGGCAGAAAGAAATGCACACAAAAAGCTAAAGAAGAAAAATAAACCAGCGACCACAAGCATGAGCATTCAAAAACTTAGCAAATCAAAAAATCAAAAGCATACAGGAATTGCAAGAGACACAGACCAAAAAAAAACTTCTTTACAGATCAAGAGGGAAAAAACAGATCTAACCCAAAAAAAAATCCACCACCACCAAGTGAATGAAAATAAAAGTCATAATTTGTCTCATAAGACCTGATGTTCTCTATGTTGACAGAAAAATAGAAGCAAAATTAGATAAATAAGATTAATGGAATACATAAGTTTCCAATTTTTTAGGAAAATTGTAGAGGGACAAAACTTCTTTCTTCTTGTAACTAAATCAAAAAGATACTCACAGAACGAAAAGCTTCAAAGCTAAATAAAGAAAAGCAAAACCCACAAAAATACAAAAAAACAGAACATAAAAGATGTTTGCTCCAAGGAATGAAAGTTCAAGCATCATTTGCACTTGGTATGAAAAATTATTATTCTAATCTTTACAAATTGTAGCCTCACATATGGTCTGATGCAAAACTTATTCTTTCCAAAATTGACTTATGATCTGAATGCAAAACTTATTACTCTAAATATGATCTGAATGCAAAACTTACAAATTGTACAGTACAACAGCATTAGTAATGCAACCACAAACTGATTAGTAAAAGGCATAACAGAAGGGAAAAAATTTCCAACAGCACTGACGAAAAAGCATCACAAGCCTGATAGCAACTCAAAAAAAAATGATCAAACATGACACAAGAAAATTGTGCAATAGCTGCAACACAAAAAAAAACTGTTAAGGGAAAAACAACCACCAAAGAAATCACAAACCAGTTTCCTAAAAGCAATGAAAAAATTGCTTGCACAGCTATTAGCATCAAACAAGTTTTAACAGAGGAGGAGAAAAACATGAAAACAGAGCCAATCTAAGGTAGGAAGACAAAATATGTATTCCAGCAGGAAATCCAAGTCACGGGGATTTCTTTATTTTTTTTGCCTTTTTTAGGGTGGAATCCTAGAACTAAAAAATAACCCAAATAGCACATGAAACAAGCAAAAAAAGCTTAAAAGGTATTATGAAGGAACTTTAGTCAAAGAAAAGAAAATGGATGGTCAGCATATGTTCATTCAGACCCAAACTTTTCGTATGAAAGAAACAAGAAATGAATAAATGTATAACTATGAGCTGGACCTTACACAGAGATGTAATTAGGCTTTCTAACTCTGGGCATCAAAATCAAAGCTTCCCTGCCTCCTGAACGCTAGGCAAACCGAGCATTTTAAATCTGTAATATCAAATTTTCAAAAAATCAACTTTCAGTTTATTCACTATTAACAGGAAGAAATACAACGGGGAAAAAAACTAATCAAAAAAATGCATAAAAATAGTAACAAAACTCAAAGAACATAAAAATTTTTAAAATTAAAAAAAATATATAACAAGAAGAAATACAAAGAGGAAAAAATGAAGCACAAAAATAGATAAAAATAGTAAGAAGACTCAAAGAACATAAAACTTTTTAAAATTACAAAAAATAAACCATACCTCTAATCCAGGGCTGCTGCGACGGTCGTTGATTCTCTGAAACTAAAATTCCTAAAAAACCAAGAGATATATACAGAAAACTGTGAAATTATATCGATCTATTGAATGTAGGGCTTTTCGGCAACTACAAGCAAATCTGTGGGCAAATAAAAGAGCCACAGATTTTGCAGTCCTAGAGAGCCCAAAAATTTTCTAAAATTTAAGGGAGAATCGGGGGAACATTAGCTTTGCAGTTGATCGGAGAAGGAGAGAGAAGGGATTGACAACTTTTTTTTAGAGGAGAGGGTATAAGTGGGCTTACGAACACACCGAAACCAACTGTAGTCAAAGTGATGCCTCTATGAAGCATTTCATCCAACACCTTACGGGCATTCTTTAGGTTCCCAGTGAATTGCAGGTTTCAGATTGGATTTTGGAAGCTGCAGAATGGAGGAGTTGTTGGAAAATCGAGAAAGCAATATGGATTTTCCTGCCTGCAAGGTGGGAGCATATAAGTGACTGATAAATGCAAGGGTCAAGGTGGATATGGAGGGTTTTGACGTGCTTTAAGAGCATTTCTAAATTGGTGGGCAATGGAGAGAGATTTGAGGATGGATTGGAAAGTAGCAGAAGTGTGCAAGAAATCCGGCTGCTGAGAGGCCCAGATAAAGAAGCCAAGAGTCAGGTCGGGAAATTGATAGGGCATAATTTGTTGTTAATTTTATGATTAATTTCCCTCTTTGTCCTTGCCAAATATTGTTTTAATTGTTGAAATGTACTTATATTTGGTATTTGGCCCTAATTACAGGAAGTGAAGCAAACAAGTGCTAAAAAGGAGACTTTATTGAGAAAAACACTCCACACATGGGAAGTTCTAAAAGGAAATACAAGCCGGGCTCCACAGGATGCTACAAAAAGGGATTCCCTATCTTTATGCTGAAAAGGGTGGACTTGTACTAGGAGTCTTACGAGTAAAGAGGAAACTAAAAACAAGGACTTTGGTAAAGCTCCAATTCTTTGGCCCTTGGACTCTCAATTCAGTGGGGACCACTAGAGATAGCGTTAGACTTTCTTTTGGCTTTAAAAAGGGAGAAACGTACAGGAGGGAGGTTATCTTATCAATCAATAGTTTTAGTTTAGACTTTTAGCATAGTTTTAGTTTTTCTTTTCTTAGCTCTTTCGCATGGCTGTTCTCCATTAATGGAGGACTAACCTCTTAATTCTAGTCAAGGAGACAACTGAAGACTTGGTTCAACAATTACTGTAAGATCGAAATTATTTTAATCGCTTCCTCATTTATTGGTATTTATGTGTTTCCTGTTTTTAATTGTTATAGTCCTTATGTATGATTGATTAGTGCGCAATAATTAATTATTCATATAGGCTATTTTGCTAAATAGGGGTAATTGAATCCGTAATTGTTCGTTATCTCTACCTCAGTAGCAACTGGCGTAATTGGGTTTATGTCAGGGGAGCATATGATCTAGCTTAAACAAACCCTCGTAGCGTGTTTGTTGGTTAGGATTGGGTCTTTCTAATTATTAATGCAATCTAGGAATTAAATCCTACGGTCGTACCTAGGGTTATTTTTGGGTTAGAGAAATAGCTAACGGTCGTACCTTAGCTATCGATAAATTAAGGAAGGGTTGGTTGTTTATCGCGTGCATGACAACTATAACTAATCTATTACTAAATGTTGGAATTATTTCTGCATCAATGATCAGTGTCTGAACCATTTCTGAAGTGTACCCTTGGTTAGAGTTTTCCCTTAATTATTTCTCTTAATCAATTATTTCCTGCAGTTAATTTATTTAGTTAGTATTTAATCCAAAAAATCCCCAGTCCCTGTGGATTCGACCCTACTCACCGCTATATACAAAATCTGTATTTTTCTCGAGTAGGTATTTATTATTGCACAGGTTTGGCACCTGTCAATTTTTGGCGACGTTGCCGGGGACTGGTGTCAGATTAATTTGTTTCTTTTTGAGTTTATTTTGTTTTCATTTTTTTTAAATTTATTTTTCTCTTATTTTTTTTATTTATTTTTTATTTTTTTTATGGCTGCTAACATTCCATATTTTGATGATAGACTGGACTTTGTTCCTGAATGGGGTTATGAGACTCATGTTTTTCCTAATGATCAATAGGCTGTTGCAAATTGTGGAATTTATTTTGACTCAGGTTATTCAACTGACACATGCCCCGTATTTCAAGATAATCTAAGTTCTCCACTTGATACTTTTGGGGATTTTCCACCCCAATATCAAACGCAGTATGACCCTTATTCAAACGGGTATGATCAAGGATGGTGGGATAATTCCAATTTTAATTATGCGACGGGGCCAATGGATTTTCAACAGCAAGAGTCTCAGCAATCATCCTCCGTGTCAGGTATGTCTCTTGAAGAAATGATGGAATTACTAATTGTAATACAAATCGATTTCATCAGGAGACACAAGCGAGCCTTCGCGACCTGGCAGATCAACTATGTCTATTGATATCCAGAATGAATCGATTGGCTTCTCCAATGAAAAAATTGCTCTCGAAAACCATTGTTGATCTAGAAGAAAATGAGAGTGCAATTTGCTTGACTGGTGATGAGGAGCTGCAAGAGTGTCAAAATGAGAAATCTACAGATGCAGTTGAAAAAGAAGCCAAAAAGGAAGAAATGGAACCCCAACCGCAACCCATTCAAGTGAAAGAATCCAGTGAACAATCTCCAAATGCGGTGACATCTCCTCCACTCCTTCATCAATATTCTCCTGACTCTTACTCTTCAATTCCTGTTAACGAAATTGACTTTATTATACCAGACAATTTTGAATTTCATGACAGCAATAAATTAAGAGTGGCGATGGCGAGATATCTTGAACCAATAAATGCAAGTGGGGGAGGAGTGAATGGAGAATGCAAATTATCATCGACTCGTTTGGCGCCATTCACTAGTCCATGGAAGCCCGTAACTCGTGTGCCCAAAGATTACTCAATCTATGAGGGTTATCAGGATCATATTGAAGATGAAACATTGAAGCGAGCCACAAGATTTTATCCTCCGTGAACAAGCATAGAATGTCTAGCCAAAGACATTAAAGAAAGGCGCTACTTGGGAGGCAACCCAAGACTATTTGTTTCAGTTTTCATGCATTTTTTAAGTTCTAGTTAAGTGTTAGTGTCAATTAATAGTTTGATGTTTGGTGACAGGGAATTAGTAGTTAGACGTGCCCCCGCCAGGTGGTCATGCCTGAGGGAAAGAAATTTTCGTTCAAGATCTGCGGATTCTATAGCAGTTAGACGTGCCCATGCCTAAACCAGAGGTTCTTTGAAAAAAAAAAATCAAAAATTCAAAATAAAAACATTTTCCGTTTTACACCTTCAGTTTTGGTATTCAAAAATCGAATTTTCCAATCTCAATTCAATTTTTTTAAAAAAAAAAATGCCAAAATTTTTTTTTTCTTTCTCTTTTTTCTTCTTCTTTCTTT